GCTATACCGAATGACCGACGGGTGTTAGGTCAAACTCCATTCACGGCAGCAGCTGAGTCCTAACATACTGCACACTACAAACCACAATCTTGACCAATCCTCGCATCACTCCTCCTGGAGTCTACCAGAGCTAAAGCAGTCGAGTGGCGGGATTTACTACGCATAAGTTCACCGAAGATCTGGAACCTCTACCTTAAAATCAAGAAGCGAGCTCAAAGAAATCACTGGTTTATACTAGCTCGTAATCAGGATATTGGATATTGGACATTGGACATTGATAAGCAGAAGGGGCAATTTTGTTGTTACGTGCTACGGCATGCTAATTTGGACGTTTTGCTTTGGAACCCTTGTTACTATAGTTTTCGTGACGCTTAAGATACTTAACTGGAAGGTGCAGTGTTGGTTTTGTGGATTTTTTACAAGGGTGCCATGGAGGAAGAAGAATTCTTTTGTCTGTCAACAGTGTGGTCAATACAATGGTTTCACACGCGATGGAGACTACAACAAGATTATACCATCACAGTTCCAATCGGAGCTGAATCCAATTTGTCGATATCAGGCTAACAGCACGTTTAAGTCTCATTCTAATATTCTATGTTTGGACTGTGCTAATAATCAAGCAATTATTGTTCAGAAGTTGTCAGAATATGTACCAAAATATGAAGACTCAGATGAAGAATTAAAACGATACGCTCACATGCTGGAATTGACCTACGGACTTTGCGATGATTGCCATATGAAAGTAAATGACAGGGTTCGCAAGGTGAGTGATTTCAAATATTGAGACTTCACTTACTTACATAACCATATACGGTTACGTCTAAGATGATAGCATCTTGTTTTTGTGTTGCAGAAAATTAGTGTCACTAAGTTGCGTAGTGAACCAATTTAATTCAGGCGATGCCTAAGTGGATATAATTCACGTTATAATGTCCATTTCACGTCATGAACTTCCTTGCTAAACAAGGTAAGATATTGCAGATTGAAGGATCTGAGAAATTACGAAACAACTGGCAATAGTCACCAAATATTCATCACGGTTTTGTGAGCACAGACTTTATGGTCTTCGTTTTATTCAATTTCGGTATAGTATATTGTCAGTAGGCAAAAAATTAGCATTGGTATGTTATTGGTAGTTAGTGCAAGGATACTTCGTTGTTGAGGTGTAAAACTACTTTAAATCACCATTAGTTTTTATGAGAAATAGTTAAAGAAAACGTTCCTGGAGAAACAACACCATTTTCAACAAGTTTATTGCACTCTGAAGTACTCTGTCGTAGAGTAACTGATTAGCAGTCTACCATTCTGAACAACTGCAGGATTTGTCTTCAAGTAGCTATCACTCGTATACAATTAAACCGAGTTTTCATTTTAAACAGAGACAGTATTTCGAGTTGAACTGTACAAATTAATTAATTCACTCGATTTCCAGCCAGTTAATCATGGGTTCCAATGCGGATCCACCTACTTCAGCCTGGTTGACTATGTAGTATCTTCAGGTCTAACACAAATAGTTTATATTCTGGTACATAAAAATAGGTATTAGGAGGTAACTGAGTTCAAAAACAAGGAACAATAATAAATTACTTGATTTCATATTTCGTGAATTTAGTGGAACCCTTGTTTTGTTCAAGGTGATACTTCTTACTCAGTTATAAGTCAATGACGAAGTGAGTTTCCAGTATGTACTTTGGCAAAATGGTGAGAATCAATATTATGGTATATTTTGGTATATTCCCAGATACTGGATAACACTTTGAGTAAAATTTATTGTTAGTGTTCATTTTTTGTTCGAGTAAGTAAAATGCATTGTATGCCCTGGATTTTATTTCACCCCAACTATGAAGTAGTGGGCCGAAGATAGCAACTCAAAAGATTTCTATACAGAATCCTATCTAATAAACTTCAGATTGTTACTTAATTGTTGTTTTTCCAGGACTCAGGAGTTGAGCACTTTGACCATCTATTACTCAACTTGCTAAATATTAACCCTTAATAATTTTGAGTGCTAGGGAAATTCAATGTCTTATTGCATTGTTGGGTACTGTTGTGGGGGAGAAAACTATCGTGTTTACTTATTAGGGGTTTAATCTACAGTGAAGTCATTAGTTAGCTTCGTAGAGTTGTGGACTTTTATAGACTCCGATGTTTGGTATTCGTCATTCGAAAACATTCGTCATGCAAGACGAAATGTCGTTAGTTTAATGTAATAGTCCACTTGAATAAGGGCCAGAATAGCAGTCTCATAATCAAATAAGATTCTTTCGTTGAGGATTTTAACTGTCTAAATTACGTATTTAAAGGAACATGTGCGGCCATCAAAATTGATAGTTATGTAGCTGAGATACTGTCTGAGTACTCCAAGTTAAATGAGGAGTCTTTGACTAGGAGAGATTTCCACAAATATGTATCACCAGATTAGATGTGAATAAAGAGGGCAGCTATTACTGACAACGACAAAGCCTAGTTTAAACGAAGGATAATTCGATAAAGAAAATTTCCCTTATCGACGCAATCCTTAGGGGTTAACCAACTATAGGCTTTAATGCGGCCGTGTTGGAGTTCTTGGGATTCAGTATCACAATAAACTCTGTAGGTGATTTTAGCCTCAAGTATTGAAATGAAACCTTTCAATTAACGTCTTTTGGATGAAGACATTATTAGGTTTAAGATCAGACAGGTTCTAGGATCCGATAGTGTTAGGAGATCCCTTTAATTCATGTATTAATTCAATTTACCAACTATGCAAAGGTTTGTGAGAAGCAGTGAGCCGGTTTTATTCTGTTACAGGTAGTGATGATCATTAGAAGCTTAAATGTCGGTTAGTGGGGAGGGTCAGGTGAATGAGTTAATTTTAACAGTCTGACTGTATATGCTACTTCATACAAAATATAACGTATAAAAAAGGCTCTCAAGGTTAGACAACTCCAGTGTACATTATTGAATGCGGTCTGATCTTGAATTTTTATCAGAGATTGTTCATCTTCCTCTTAGTCACAGATTATGTTATTATTTATTCAAACACAAACTTGGTGCATAATGGGCACCGACGAATATGCCAGACAGAAATTCGCAGTTTGTGCGTAGCCTGGGATACTGTCTGGTCTAAAAGTGCCACCTCAAGAACCTTTGACTTGAAGTTTGATCAACAAGACACGGGAGCGGTGTTCCCATGATTTCTGGTGACCAGAACAGGTTCATATGCCATTCAATTCTTTCGAATTGTAGAACCCATATACACACGCACCATAGGTTTTGTAATCAGGGTGTCCCAGCTCCCCTAGGTATATCCACCTGTTCGGTTGTAAGCGCCAAAAGTTCGTATTCACCCTGTCACATTTGTGAGGGACATCCCCGTCGCTGTGTGAAGGCAGTGAATAGGAGTCACCTAGTAGAGGCTATGAACGCGTGGCTATATGACGGTATTTGGAGTGAAAGACCAAAGTCTACCCGCCGTCAGCCGTACCAGGTCGTATCAAGTTGATAAAAGCTCATAAATTAATTACCCGGTTTTTGTGTTTGAAATACCGAAACGGAGTTGTGATTATAATTGCTATTTCATTTGTTTCTTTTTGTTTCTTGGATATATGCTGATTATAACTTCATATTATTATTTTTATTTTGCTTTAAACAGCTGGATTCGAAACTTCTACCAAGTTTTATTGAATGGTGGCATGAAAAACGACGTAGAACACCAGTCACTGAGAATCCTGTTAAGCGTAAAACACGTCGAAAATATTTAGCTTGGCTTGAATTGTTAATTGTTGTGCGTATTCTAAGCATAATATGCTTTGCATGCATTATTACCGGCCCATTATTAACTGAGATAAGTAGACAAACTTGTCTTGTTCATGTTATGCCGGGGAATAAATCATACACGTATAAATTTGTTGAAGTATTTTGGTCTAAACCTTGTCGACAATATTCTCGTGATTATTGTTCACAGATTCTTGCCTATTCACAGCATTTATCACTATCTAGCGAAGGTCAACTATGGTTCACGTCATTATTGCTTTGTTTACAAGCAACACTTATCATTATAGATGGTTTTCACTTAGAAAATGCACAGAATTCACATCAACTTTCTATGTATCGTCATGGTGTGAAATCATGCACACTTTTGTATAATGTTTTAGTGCTTTTAATTTCAGCAAATATTCTGCTCTCTTTGTTAATGAATTATGAAAGTTTCCGTTGGATTATTGATCATCAAACACCACATTTTTTATCGTCTAATTTCTCTGTAAAAATTTGCTTTTTGCTTGGTTTTATCTTTCTACTCCTGATTGTAATTATTCTGTTTGTTATCAAAATATGGTCATCATTTTTCTTGAAAGATTTTAAATCACAGCATAAAACGCTGAAAGAGACATGGCCTAATGATACTAGCATTCATAGTAATAGTAATAATAGTGCTTCCTTCAGACGTATAATAGGCCTACAGTCAAGTGATAGTATAAGTTATTATTCAACGCCGACTAATCGTCATCATCATCACCATCCGAATTCATCAATCATCAGTAGTCAAGGATCTTTAAATTCAAGCCGAAAATCACTGGAAGATGAAATGGCTGCAACAAGAATATCACCGATTATCCAATCGACAAATACGTTTCGACCATCTGTGCTAGAGAGTGCTAACAGTTATTGTCCTAGTGTTACTGGATCCTACTACTCTGTGGTGAATCCTCCTCCCCATCATCCGCCTCCGCCTCCTCCGAGTTTGTTTTCAACTCATTCCGCTATGATGGGGAGACAGAGAGTAGAGTCGTTAAGATCGAATGAAGATGGTTTAAGTTGTCTATCAAGTGTTAGCCGATGTAATAAAGCTAATTCAGGCTATTACACATGTAATAATAATAACAATAATAATAGTAACGATCATTTAAAGTCTATTTCACCAACTCATTCAACACGATCAACCTCTGGGAAGCGTAGATCATCTGGTTCATCAAGACGTAAACGAAGAACTGGTCTAATACGATTTATCTTATTCCTTTTGTTTGGTCGACTTGAAACACGTCAAGATGTGTTATATGAACTGACGTGCCTAGCAAATGCTGTACTACTTAGTATTGTAATTTATTGTACATGTCGATTGATGTTTTGTTTAATTAGTATATTTGGTATTTAATGCGAAAAATTGTTGACTATCTATCTTGTTTCTTTGTATGCATTTTTAAAATTTCTATTCATTTTTATATTTATTACTATTATTATTATTATTGTTAGTATTATTCGCACAATGTAAGGAAATTTTATACTTTACGATGGTGAATAGTCGTTTGTAACTGTTGTAGATAATTGTAAATATTGTCGAAGGAAAAATATAATCCTGTTGGTATGTTTATGTTTGTTTCTGGTTGTATGTTAGTTCAGTGCACCACAATTTTGTACTGGCCATTGAGAGTGGAAGACATGAAAACATTAGCTGTCTTCCATCATGGGTGCCTGCATTCTATCTCCCATGTGAAGTGGAATAATAAGGTGAGCAATATTGAGGTTAGGCCTCAGTCGAGTGCTAGGTAAGGAGGGGAAATCAATCGACGAGACTGTGAAATTACATCGACTGAGATGGTTAGGACATGTGTTACGTATGCCTAGTCATCGCCTTCCTTGACAGTGGGCAATGTTAGCTGATATAGGGTCAGGCTGGAAAAGAGCTATCGGCGGTCAAACGAAAACATGGTACCAGTCAATGAAATCTACAACAGCTAGTCTAAGTCACGTAGGAAGGTGTAGACTGCTGTCTGGTTGGGGTCCTCGGGACGGTAAAAACCAATGGTTGGAAACAATTGGTGACATGGCTCAAAATCGTTGTCAATGGCTGGTGCAGATGCATCCACTCCTTGTGACTTATGATTTCCAATTAAACTGTTTTGTTCTTCGTTATTACTATTCCTTTGTCTCACACTTCTGTTTACTGTCTCTAATATGCATTTCTCCTACTTTCTTCTCTTGGTTTGTGTGTTACATGGAGGGAGTGTGGCGACTTGAACTGCCGCACATATGTGCAAAGTTCTATGTCGAAAACCGACCGACCGACCGTGTATTATTATTTAAGTATGCGAAATGACGACATGAAAAATATCGAGTGAGAGAGCAGAAGATGAGAGTCTACGGGTTATTGCGAAGATAGCTAGACAGACGACTACTACTGCTACAGAGAACAGTGTGGAAGGAAGATGGGCTGTTGGAGTCCTATGTTCCATTTGGGACCTAAGGAAATAGTAATTCATGTTTGGTAAATATCATTTCTGAAGTACCTATGCATTAGATAGTTGGAAGCGATCGGCCACAAGTAGCCTTGCTTGGACCTAGGTTTTGTGCTAGTTGACACTCACCAGTCAACGAGGTGTATCTGCGGTAACCTTGAAGGAACTCATATGTCTCTTCTGAGATTAGAACCCGTGTCACCTAGTGAATTCTGCAGTCAGAAATGTTACTATTGAGCTATTCTGGCTCTCGATTGCCTGATAGGATTCAGTCTGGACCAAACAAAGGACCAGGCACACTACACTAGTTACTAACTAGTGTTCGGTCAAAGTATCCAATACAGTCTTACAGGAGGTCAATAGCGAACCCCGATAGAAGGCTTCGTGTGCTCTTAGAAGTGTGTGGGCGGTCGTTACTTCCCGGCTGCTCACACTGTGGAAGTTGATCGGTTCTTCGGGTATCTGAAACAAAGAAGGTTAGTGTTGCGTGACCGAAGAGCCCAGGGGACAACCGCTTGAGGCCTGTAACACACGGTCTGTATGAACTGGTTTCTTGGATTGGTTCCGTACTAGTAAACTTACCGCCGTTTACGGACCACCGTAGGGTAAGTCGGGATGTACAAGTTTTGGGGTCGATATTTTCTAACCCCCTCTCTCCGGAGTGGAGAGACAGCATAGCTGGCTGGCATGCTGGTCATCTGAGGGAAACATCTTACTGCGGCTGTTACATCCCTGTTACCCAGCACTACGAATTCGCTCACAGACCCCCAGAATAGTGTGAAAAAAGTTCTTACACAATCCCAGTAACTGCTTTTAGTCTAATCGCTATCCTAACAACCTTGGTGGCACGGTAGGACCTGCAGGAACAATAGTTCCGGTCAGTGTAGCTTGTTGGGTCATTGCGATGTGCAAGCCTGACCACCACGTTAATGTAGCAGCTATCGGTCAGAGGAACCCTAACCTGAATAGCTCACTGGTAACGTCTCTCTGACTTCAGAACTCATTGGGTGACACGGATTCGAATCTGCGAAGGGACATATGATTTCCTTCAGGGTGATTGCAGATACGCCTCGTTGACTGGTAAGTGCCAACTTGCACGAAACCTAGGTCCAGGCAAGGTTTCCTGTGGTTGATTGCCTCAAACCACCTAATACCAACACTTCACAGTTCTACGTGATGGCGAGTTACCTTGTAGCATGGTGGCCACATTGCAAATTTGACTGACTGATAGAATTTAGTCTGCATAAAAGAAGGGACTAGACGCCCTTAAAGTAGTTACTAGCTAGCAATCAATCGAAGTACCTCGCTATTACCAAGTGATCAGGAGTGGTAGTACCTGGAGCTTTGACTCATTGGCTTAGTTATTCGACTTCCAAACGCTAGGTCATAAGTTTGAAGTTTCCTCCGTCGGCCAAGACTTGCGTAGCCAGGTTCATATACATGTAAGTTGTTTTATGGAGTAACATTTCACATTTATTTCTTGTAGTTTCCAAATCTACTGCAGCCATCTTACACAACAGTATCGTCTCATCATTAGATAAAGGTGCCAAATACGTCCGCTGCACGTTTCTCGACTTCACTTCGGCTTTCGACTCTGTACCGAGATGTCTCTTGCTAAATAAGCTCTCTATGACAAAAACTGAGTCCTGGGTCACTAACTGGTTGCATTCCTACTTCTCTAACAGAAAGCAGTACACCGTATACAAAGGTAAATCCTCCTCTGCTGTGGTCACTGAAGCTGGTGTCCCCCAAGGTGCTGTACTCTCCCCACTTCTCTTTTCTTTCTTTCTACATGACTTACCATCTTCAAATGATATCAATTTTGTCAAATATGCCGACGACCTGACTGTATCTTTGCTTGTCAAATGTCAAAGTGACTGCTCTAAACTAAATGGCTTTTTATCAGAAATCAGCCAGTGGTCGAAGGTAAACGGTCTTACCTTAAACCCCTTCAAATGCCATCAGTCAATTTCACCTTTAGGTATAAATCCGACCTAAACAAACTGGTTGGCTCTCACGAGGTGTGCAACATGGATGGCACTGAAATAGAAACTAAGTCGGAAATTAAATACCTAGGTGTCATTCTATCTGCTGATCTCTCCTGGTCGTCTCATATCTTGGCGATTTCTAAGAAAATATTCCGTCTTACCTTCTACATCAAGAAGTTAAAACATTCTGATATAACTCAACCCTTACTCCTACAATTCGTTAATTCTCGCATTCTGCCTATTATTCTCTATTGTTCCCCGGGCTTAGTTTTTCCCGGGCTACTGAAGAAAGACTATAACATATTGCGCAGGATGTTAAAGGTTGTCAGCAGGGTAAGCAACGTGACACTTAACCAGCTTGTTAACATTCTGGTTGACAGGCACATGGACTCGTGTGAAAAGTGGGCCAAATCCATTTTATCTTACTCACACCACCCTCTTCACTCACAACTCTCCCCTTGCATCTCATCAGGCAAAACCAGAAGCCTATATAGAAAACTATATGCTCGCACCAGCAAGTACAAAACTCAACCATACCCTACTTAGCTCGTGTTCTGTGCGATAAAGAAAGCATTAGGCGTGACACGTATAACTTATTAAATAGTCAGTAGAACAACTGTACCTCGTCTTTCCAACTCATATCATTAATAGCTACAACATTTTCTTTCTTTCTTTTCCTTTTCTCTCTATCTCTTGTTTTCCGTTATGTGCTGCTTTGTTTCTTTCTCTCGATTACGCCAGTAAATATGACAGCACCTACTTTTCTAATACCTTCAAACATTGTTCAGCTTTACCTTTGCTACCGACATGCCAATATGTTATTGTCATAACGAACTGAGACTACCCATAATCTATGTAGAATTCTATTTATTGATCATGTACTAACTGGATGCAATACTGTAGTAAAAGTAATGAGAATTCCATTCTGTATCACAAGTAAAGCAGATTACTATTATTATTATTATTGTTATTATTATTATTATTATTATTATTATTAGAGTAGTGTCTGATGTGACAGTCAATAATTAACAGCTTTAGTTATCGTGTGCTGACATTATTATTATTATTATTATTGCATCCTTTAATTCCTACAGGAACATAGGGCTTCAGCCGTGCGTCTCCATTGCGTTCTGTTCTCTGCTAGAGTCTTCACCTGGCTCCAATTCTGCCCACACGTTTTCATCTCCTCTTCACATGACAAATGACTGGTTATTATCACTATTGGCTTAGCTTGTGTGAGAGAGGTTGTAACTTTCTTAGGATTCGTTTGGTGAGGGTGTCTGTCCCTCAGTGTAATGTTTTTTCACCTTCTCCGTTTTCACTCTTCTTACGCAACTTTCCTCACTGATTCTGATGAAGCCAGTTTTGTTTAGGTATACCGATGATCTAACCTGACCGTTTCTGTGTCGATTATCCTTCAATTCAAATTGTTTCAAAATAAATAACTTTTTTGATTGCATGGAGGATTTCATCTAGATGAACTGACATCAGTTAGAGAACCACTAGAAAACCTGGGAGTACTGGACATCTGTTTCGTCCTAGTTTGAGACTCTTCATCATTACACACGCACCGGGGTTTGAACCCAGAACTTTCTGGTTACAAGGCGAGCTTGTAGACCATTGAGCCACTCGGTCCCCATCCAATGTTCCTTGAATTCTTGAATAGCTTTTTTCTCAGAAAGTAGTCAGTAGTCCTTGTTGAATAGTCTTAAGCTAGATCCCTTCAAAATGGTAAACTGGTTTAATTTCACTTTTAGGCAGTAAAACGTGATTTACGTGAACTCGGTTCACTGTCAAGATGATTCTTGTATCATAGAAGGTAGTGAATTTGAAACTGTGTTGAGTGTTAAGTACCTGTGATATTGTTTCCTGGTGTTTCCACATCATGTTAATTTCTAGAATGATAACGATCTACATAAGGAATGTTAAGACAATCTGGTATCAGTCTCAGTTTGTACTTTTACAGGTTTGTTAATTCTTGTATTCTACCTATTACTTTTTATTGCTCTCCCCACCTTAATCTTTCGCGGGCTAGTGTACTTCGAAGGGCATTTAAACGCTGTCAGTAGGGTGAGTGGGGTATCGCTTAACCAACTCGCTATTTCCGTTGTAGATAGGCACATCGACTCATACAAGAAATTAGCGAA